CACTGTCCACTCTTTTGGGGATTCTCCCACAGGAGGTGGGAATACGCACCTCCTTTCCAGAATAGCATTGGGCAAGACTTGAGTATGGCTTCCTGGCTAGACATCAGTCTAGCCCTCTTTATTCAAAAGCGAAGTAGACAAGGGTTTCTCCATCAGTTAAGTCTAGTTATGCGCTGTAGCCCTTCCAAGCACTTCTCTTTCCCTACAAAGACTGGAAGATTGTGGGCCTTCCCCAGATCAGAAGGTGGGTGGTGTGGCAGCTTCAGTATTTTCTAATGCTTATCATTGGCATCGGCACATAGATAGGCATCGTGAGGTCACAATGGCTGTCATCAGGATGACAGGATGCGTGGGAGGTAGACTTTTTGATCTCAAGGTCTCTTCTACTTTTACCATTCTAAGATGTGCCCTAGGCACCTAGGAAAGGGGAGGGGAGCTAACGAGCATCCTCCACTGATCAGCACCCACCCTTCCCTTTTCCAAGGGGACATCTCCAATGAGTCTACTTAATGACCATTAATCCCACAAACCACCCCCTAATGGAGAAGAGGCCTCACTTCTCTCTGGTAATGTGATGTGATTGCAGGGCAGACACCTTCATCACACAGGGTCCACTGCAGCTAGGGGGACAGCCAGCTATGAAATAGGGCTGCAAAGAGAGCTATAATTTGAATCTGGTTAATGAGAAGCGCCCCAGCCTGTGCTCTGTGAACATAGTGGAGGACAGGCCCATTAGTTACAGACAAGAGGGCACAGGGCCGAGGTAGTGGTGTTCATCTTGCAACAAGATGAGTTGTATGTTACTCAAATCACGCCTGAATTACCCAGACCTCCCACAAATTGCTCATTAAGGCTTTCCTGTTGTTCCTGAGCTGTAATATTCCCTCTTCTCTGAAAACTCCCCAGTCACAGAGGCTGTGCCTAGGACATTGGGGTGTGTACAGCAGACACAAATAATAAGAAACAGGAGTTTCTATGACAGCTTGCTGCTTCAGGACAGAAATTCTGGCCTACTCGTCTTTATCCAAGTGCCTTGTTTTGGGCTCATGACAGCTGCTCAACAGAAGTTTATTAAATGAATGAGTGGCCTGCTTTATGAATTATCTGTGGAACAGAGTCCTTCCTCCCTAAATGTTTAATTGGGAAAGAGAATGGCTCCCTCCCCACCACCCCCAAGACGAGCAAAGCAGGGGTCATCCCAGAGGTCAGGGGAAGTGCTGAGAGGTGGCCTCGCTCCCCAGGGCCAGCTGGTCAATGGGGCGATCACCCATTATTCAAGCCCTGGGAAAAAAGCTGTCACCTCACAGGGCCAGAGGGGAGACTCTGTGCCCACCCCTTTACAAAAACAGAAGCTGGGTGATCACCAGACTCCTCAATTCCCAAGAGCTTCCCAGATCTGGAATTAGGGCGCTGACAAGCCTCCCATCAGAAAGGAGACTAGACATGGCTCACACTGTAACTATTTCCTCACGCCCTTGTTTAGATGTGGACCCGCACACACAACCCTTACCCCAAACCGCCACCCTCCTCACCTCCTTTCAAAAACACCAAATAAGTCAAGGGCCGAGGAACTCAGTTCTGCACAGATATTTTAAATTAATCTTGAAGCAACTTAAAAGGACTGTTTTTCTCCCCTGCTCCCTGCACATTTTCTGTGGCAGCTGGGTCAAGCCTGAGCAGCATTTTCACCGCTGACTCAATAGCAAAATATTTCTGGGCTGCCCTCTTCCCATCATCCTTTCACTCCCTCTGTTTTGTTTTTGACATTCTCTCCTTTCCCCCTCTATACACACACACACACACACACACGTGCACACACACTTCTTTCTAAGGTCTGAGCACACCATGGAACATGGATCCTAAACTTAGAGTCCATGCATAGAATTCAGGCATCATGTAATTGGATAGGGTAAAAAACAAGCTTTTATTTTCACTGACCTCTAACTGAAATATAGCATTCTCGTCAATTATGAATGTAGGCAACGAACTACATGAATGTTAGCAATACCTGTGCCTCTGACATCAATAGAAACACACACATTTTCATATCACATCAGAGTTGTTGCCCTGAAATATCATTTGTGCTCATCACCACCTCAAAATTATGGTAGTTATGAGACTTCAAGTAGATGTTATGATTTAACATGTTCCTAGAGAAGTCCATACGTTACTGATACTTTAAAAAATTTAACAACTGTATTTCAATAATTATTTTCTAAGCCTATACATATGGTTTTGTACATTTACAAATATTATTATCAGAAAGGGTGCAGAGTTTCACCAAATCAAAGTGGTCCACAGCACAGAAAGGTTCAGAGTCCCTGCTGCCAAATGAGCCTTAGAAGGCGGGATTTGAGATTTTCCCAGAGTCACCAGGGCATGGTCCAGGGGGCTCGGGACTAACAGGCAGTGTTCAGTGGTAGCATGAGGCAGGTCCTAGGAGCAGAGGGACACGAGGGATATTGGATAAGAGCTTGGGTGGGCTTTGAAGACAGACAACATACTGGCTCTAACTGGCAGTGTGATCTTGGGCAAGCCACCTCATCTCTCTGAGCTTCCATTTCCTCTGTTGTAAAATAGGAATAATAACATACCAGAGGATTCTGTGAGCATGAAGGAGAGGATACGTGTATGGCAGCAATTGTTGCTTGGTTGACTGGCACTTGGCCAACTCGAGACGGTCAGCCTTCCTACCCAGGGACTTCTGTGGCTAAAGTATGTTGTTTTGGAGACAGACACTATCTGTGTCTTTTGCAAGCTTCCCATATCCTGGAGCTTCAGGGATACAGTGAAGTGCCTCAAACTCTAAAGCACTCCCAGGCAGACCTGAGTCCCCTGCCTCCCCGTCTGTCCCCGGATCACCGAAATAGGCACCCAGACCAGGCTGCAAAGCAGATTCCCTGATCCAAAGCAGAAGAGACCGCAAGTCAAAAGGAGACACTCCAGACCTTTGCAACACTCATCACAGGAGCCAAAGCACCTGCCTCTGGGGTCACAGAACAGCTGGTTTCTGGTGTCTCTCTTCACTTGGTGAGCAGTGACAGGGATTCTGCAGTCCTAGTGGTCCCTCCTGGAGCAGGCCAGGCCAGGGTCAGACCCAGGCTGCCAGTCCACTTGGCAAAGAGCCCTCAGGAAGGCCAGGGAAACTGCACGACTCCTAAGGCGGTGCAAGAAACTCCTTCACACGTCTTCCAAAACCTGGCCTAAAGGATGTTCAAAAGTTCTGTTGTAGAAAGGGGCTATGCATTCTTTAAAAATTACATATATTGATTTTCATCTGATTATAAATTACAAAAGACTGGAAAGCACAGAAAATTTATACAGCGAAATTAAAATCAACCTAAGGCCTGACCCCTGGAAATCAAAACTATTAACACTGTGGTGAATTTTCTTCCAGTTATATCTATGTTGACTCTCTCACATAAATTGGGATCATAATTATATAGAGTTTTATATCCTGATTTCATCACTGAAAAATACCTACAGACATTTTCAATATGAGCTCTTAAAAGACACAAAACCATTATATAAGACACTGTCTGTAAAACTCACAGGTTACTGAGAGATCTCACGGTATTCCTAAGGGTAGTATTGTGCATTCAAATATAAGTTATTTCCAGAAAACTGATAGGAGGAGAGCCCGTTTCACTCTTCTTAAAGTGCATATAATATTTAACTCTCTTCTTTAGCCTAGAGAGAATCTAGAAAGACACTTTTTTGTGTCCTCAGCAACGAGGCACTATATGATATTTTTCTTTTTCACTTTTTCCATATCTCCCTTGATAAGGGGAAAGCTTTGAAAATTCCCTGCTAGAAAAATGGGGTCTTCCTTGAGAAAGTGTTCAGCAGCTGAGGAAAAACTTCCAGCAAGAAGTGGTATGGCAGGAAGAGCCATGGATTTCAAATGGAAGAAAGCTGGATTCATATGTCAAGCCTGCCATTGTAGCCCCAAGATCAAAGACACCCATTTCCCTGCATCAACACAGACACCACCCCCCACCTCAAAGGATCAAAGGGTTGCACAGATTAAATAAGACTCTGTACGTGAAAGTGCTTTGTCAATAGTGAAGTACACGGCAGGACAATAACCACTAAGTCATGTTACTGTGGATAGAAACAGTATTGGTATTTTTGTTGCTTAGCTAGCTTGAACCACTCAGTGCGTGCCCTGAGAGGGGCAGTGTCCAGCACTGTATCAGTGGGGACTCTTGAGCCACACCGCACTTTCTAGTTTGGCCAAGTTATTTAGCCTTGCGGTTTCTTCATCTGTAAAATGGCATAATGATAATACATCTATTGAGATGGAGAGGATTAAAATGAGTTAATTTACACTCATGGTGCTTAGAACAGTTTGCTGTTAGTGCCCTCGATTCTGACTCCTAGCGACCCTGTGTACAGCAGAGAGGAACCCTGCCTAGTCTTTTGGTGCCATCCTCTCACCTTCCAGTGCTCTATCAGACAATGCTCTGCTGTATTCATAGGGTTTTCAAGGCCAATTTTTTCGGAAGTGGATGGTCAGGTCCTTCTCCTAGTCTGTCTTAGTCTGGAAGCTCCACTGAAACCTGTCCACCATGGGTGACCCTGCTGGTATTTGAAATGCTGGAGGCGTAGCTTTCAGCATCACAGCAACACGCAGACGCCACAGTCTGACAGCTGACAGACGGATAGTGTGGTTCCCTGACTGGGCAATGAACCCCGGGCCGCAGCAGTAAGAGCACCAAATTTTAACGCCTAGACCACCAGGGATGGCTGTTTAGAACAGTACCTTGGACATAATAAACACTACATAAGGGGAACTTTAAAAAGTCAGTGATCAATGGCCAAATATAAGATCGAAATAAATGTATACCAGCTAAAACCAGTAGGCACATTTTTTTTAAAGCTTTCCACAAAAGTATTATCATCAATCAGAAGGCTGGACTAGCCGCCTCCATCAGTTTCCCTAAAAAGTTACGCTCCCCACCCCAGCCCTGCTCGGGTTTGGCGGGCTCCCCTCCTACCTTCTCGGCATCCTGCTCGAAGAGCCGCAGCTGGAAGCACTGGTCCAGCTTGAGCTTGCGCACGTGCCACATCTGGTGCAGGTGCTGCCGGGTGGAGTGCAGCTTGTCCAGGAGGCTGGTGATCTTGGGCACCAGGCTCTGGAAGTCAGCGCTGCCCGGGATGCAGTTGCGCCCCGAGAAGCCATCGCTGCAGCGGATACACTGCAGAAGCCGCTGCCCCTCCCGGTCCAGCTCCTCCACAGGGGCCTTCAGCACCTTCTTCTTGAGCTGCGTGTGCTCATCGATGAGCCGCCGAGAGCCCTCCACATCCACAGGGAACTCCTTCCGGGCCAGCATCTCCTGCAGGTCCTCGAGGCGCGAGAGCAGGTGCACGGCGCTGTTGAAGAACTCCTCCAGGGAGAGCCGCAGCTCAATCCATTCCTCATGGTTGTAGTCCAGGGAGCCGTCAAACTCCTCCGTCAGCTGGGAGGGGTCCACCAGCTTCGTGAGGCCCTCCACGGACACCATGCTCGTCTGGGAGGGGCAGACACAGAGAGGGAGACTCAGTGATTTGGGGGCGAGAGGGGGGAAGACCCCAAGGCACCAGAAGGCAGAAGAGAGAAAGTCAAGGGGAAAGGCCAAGACAAGTCCACATAATAATGACCACAGCCTGCTTAGGAAAGGGCGAGTGGGGAGCACACGGCCCACTGGTCAGGAGCCACAAATCAGCCAGGGTCAGCAGTTTCAACAGACTGGCCGACTGGGTCAAAAAGCCTCTCCACCTGTCCACCATTTGCCATTCAAGGAAAGACTGCCTTTATGCCGCTGCTGCCCTCATCTTCCTCCTCCCCACCCCCGAGTCCACTGCAACAGGGCTACAGATGCCAGAAGCAGGAGAAGCTGGAAGAACAGACCTAGTGCCTGGGGGTCCAGTTCTCCACGGCTGTAAAACCCAGGCCCACAACCCAGGATATCATTGCGGTTGGACTAAACAGTGTGGGTCAATCCTTGGGCTGCAAGGATCACCGAATCCATCTTCTTGACTCAGGTTGGGTGGGTCCTGGCCCCGCCCCAAGACTCTCTTTTAGCAGATGCCCTTCTCTGGTACAGTGAACGTGCCAGGGCTAGGGGACAGGGAGTCTGGGCCCTCGGTTTTCTCTGTGAGCCCCCTGCAAGCTCTTGGAGAGCAGAATGTAGAATGTTTGTCTCCAGGACGAAGAGCAACAAATGACAGCACAGGCAACCACCCCAACTCATCAAGAAACATCTTTTCCTTCCCATAAGATTTCCCACTTCTCTCTCCTGGAGAAGGAGAAGCTATCAAAGAAATATCTGGATCCAGGGTCCAGCCTTACACTTACTAATTGTGTGAACTGGGGAAGCTATTTAAGTTCTCAGCCCCTCAGGCCCCTCCTCTGTGTGATGGAGATAATAACATTTTTCTCCTAGGGCTGTGCTGGAATTAAATGTGTCAGTGTGTGTAAAGCACCTAGGGCGCCCGGCGTGGAGCACGTGCTCCTTCCCTGTTAGCGCTCATTGTGATGATCTGAAGCCTGCATCATTACCGGAACCCTTAAAAGCAGTTTGTCTCTGTCTTGCTACTCTCTGAGCATCTCCTCCTCATCTCCCTTTTCCCTCTATCTCCTTCCTAAGATATAGGAAGGAGCTGCCTGTGTCTGGAACAGGGGTTCTCAAATTTGACTGCTCATTAGAATCCCTTGGGGAGTTTATAAAAACACTGATGCTCAAACCCACCCCTAGAAGTTCTGATTTAGTTGGCCTGGACTGGAGCTTGGGCATGGGTAGTTTTAAAAACTCCTAATGTGCAACCAGCGACATGAACCTCTGCTAACCTAGATCCTTGCTACTCAAAATATGGCCCTCAAACCAACAGCGTGGCATCACCTTATTAGAAATGTGGACTCTGAGGCCCCACTTAGACCTAGTGAGTCAGGGCCAGCCCCGTGGCTTAGTGGTTAGGTGTGCGCGCTCCACTGCTGGCGGCCCGGGTTCAGATCCCGGGCGCGCACGACACGCCGCTTCTCCGGCCATGCTGAGGCCGCGTCCCACGTACAGCAACTAGAAGGATGTGCAGCCATGACATACAACTATCTACTGGGGCTTCGGGGGGGAAAAAATAAAATAAAACCACATTGCTTAGACCTACTGAGTCAGAATCTGCATTTAACAAGATCTCCAGGGGACTCTGTGTCAAATTTTGAGGTCCTGTTTTACAGCACATTCTCCTTTGAATTTGGCTCAAAGTTTACCACTTCCAGGAAGCCTCCCATGATTACATTCACCAATTATCCATTAAGTGTCTGCTACCGAACAAGCCTGTACTCTCACCTCTGTATCATTAATTGCCTCAGTCTGTACTAGGCATTTCATTTGCTGTTTGTAAAGTACAATTTATAAACATTCTTCCGCACGCGAGGCCCCCATCTGTCTCCTGTACTTCTTGTTTAGGAGGCAGAGACGAGCTTGCTCAACCTGGGGTGAAGGGGGTACACGGAGATGGGAAGTGCTGGGCAGCTACACTGAAGCAAAAGTTTCAAGACTTGTTAGAAAGATTGTCTTCAGTCTTTTTAGCTTATAAATTTATAGGCTTGTTGTCACCACCTCTGTATAAACAAACCAAAAATACAACAGGGTCCCGAGAGGACTCCTAGTGTTGGGCTGGGGTGTTGGGAGAGTATGAGAGTTAACTGCTTTTATACCAAGTTGAATTTCTTGTGTTATTTACACAGAATAAGAACTGCCTGCATCAGTCAGGGGATCAGGTTGTTGTGTTCAAGTCGCAGTCTATATGGGGCCACTACTCCCCACACAGGCGCTCCTGCCCCTGGGGGACAAGAGTCTGGAACGCATTGCTGCAAGATTAAGAGCAGCTCTGCCTTTCCAACATACACACGTATACAAGGTCCGTCCCCTTGCAGACGAGGGCCAGAATTTCCAGAAAGGGGAACAGCTCAGATTTGGCTTGAACAAAAGTTCCTAAATCATTGATTTAATCTGATGTGTTGCCATTAAAAATTCTCAGGGGACACACATGGCCTCTGGAAAAATCTAGTTAAAAAATAACTTGTTTTCCCTGAGTATAAAAGTTAAGACATAATTCTCGAAAGAAAACAGAAAAATACGAAAAAAATAAAAAATCACCCATAATCCGGCCACTTCCAATAAACTAAACCACAGTTAACATTTTCATGTGTTTCTCAACCTTCTTCTCCACACATATACTTAAAAAACAAATTTCAGATTATATTGCCCATACCGTTTTATAACTTGCCTTTTTAAAAATAATATATTGTGAGCATTTTTCAAGGACACAATTTTTCTAAGTACGATTTTTAGCAGCCTCATAGTATTTGTGTATTAATGTTACCAAAATTAATGGATATTTATGATACAAACTATACATGTGTGTATGTATAGATATGTGTATACATATAAATATTATATACATATACATATGTATAGTATTGCAAAAAACACTGTGATGAACATCCTTGTAGACATTTTTTGTTTAATTATAATTAGCTCTTCATCTTTTGGTTTTGTTTAATTTTTATATGAAAAATATTTTCCTAGAAGAAGAATTACTAGATCTATGGATATAAACTCTTTTTAAAGCATTTGACCCAAATTACAAAGTTGTCCCCGGAGACAACTGCTCCAATTACTGGCCAAGAGTAAACAGGATTGCCTCGTGACACCGTGTACTTGGGACAATCTCGTGAGCCTCGTATTCCTCCCCAGACTCTAACTGGTTAGGCCACAGTCGCCAAGGAATCCTGAAATATCAGCCCCTGACATGTTGCATGTCGCAGGGTGGATGGAGAAGCGGAAGGGAGAAAGGTGAGAGTGGCAAAAGGGGAAGGAGACGGGGTGCTGAGAGAGGTCTGGCTCACCTCAAAGATGAATTTGGAGCTGCCAAAGTTAGTCTTCTGCTTCTGCCAGAAGTTGTCAGGTTTGATGATGAGGGCCACATGGATCTCGGCTGGAAAGGCTTCCTGCAGTGTCTTGAGGAGGGGTTTGATGAGGTCCCACTTGGAGCCCCGCATGTCGATGATGACGGTGAAGCCACGTTTGCACACGTCCTCGCTGTGGGGAGGCCAGAGGTCAAGCATGGTCACTCTGGGCAGCTGAGACTTTGGAGTACACACTCAAAAAACATCTGAAACCTGCATTCCTTTTCATCTGGACCACCCTTCCGACTTCACACCAGCTCTCCTGGCTGCCTTCCAATCCACTCAAAGTGTACTGCTCAGAGAACCTTTCCTGATTAACCCCATCTGACCAAGGGCATTCTGCCTTCTCCTGCACTTAGCAAATAACTCAGCCTTCCCTATGTCAGCTGCACTTGTTGGGATGTTCACTGTTTAGTTATTCACAATTATGCTCGATTTTCTTTTACTTTTTGTCTCCCTCTCTTGCTCCTGGGATGAATCATGTTTTCCCCATTTGAATACAAGCCGTCTAAAGACGGGCACTCTGTTACCCTTAAATCTGAGAAGAGAAGTCCTTGGCATGAGTGCTGTCCTTCCTGTGTCCATATCAGTGGTAGACACTGGTACTCTTTACCACTGAACCCAAACTGGGCCAAATAATCTTTTTCAATAAAGGGCTCTAGGCTGACTCTATCAATTGATTAGAGATGGTACACGAAGTATTAATAACATATATTCGCCACCACTGTATTTAAGATACATTACTTGTAGTTCAAAATGTACATCAACTTAAAAAAAAGCAGGGGGCTGGTCCTGTGGCATAGTGGTTAAATTCAGCACGCTCCACTTCAGCGGCCTGGGTTCATGGGTTCATATCCCAGGCACGGACCTACACCACTCATCAGTCATGCTGTGCTGCCAACCCACACACAAAATAGAGGAAGACTGGCACAGATGTTAGCTCAGGGCTAATCTTCCTCAGCCAAAAAAAAAAAAAAACATCAGGTTGCTGAGCCATGCTGATTACTCTTAGATGGCCAAGGTGGCACTGATTAGAAAGGGAGATGCAGTCCAGTTGTCTTATGTGCTTCCCTTGTAAGAGTCAGGGTGTAAAAAGGCACATTTCTGGAAGTTAAGAGAGGGGAAACAACTCTTGAAATCAAGGCCAGATGCAGTGACAGTGACCATTGCAAAAACCAAAAACTAATCACGCTAAGTGAATCAAGATGTTGCTATATAACTTACTAAGTAGCAAAGTTTAAACACTTGGACTTTATAATTCCTAGGAATTGAAAGAAAAAAAATGAAGGTCTAAACAGTTATAATATCTTGGTTTGGAAGAAAGTCTATGTTTTGGTTGTTAGGGGTCTTTCCTTCCATCCTCCTTGGTTTATTTAACCTATGTATTTATTTTATAACTCAAAATAGACTTTGGTTAATTCACATTTTTACATAAAAACTGGTCTAGTATTTCCTTAGGGTGTTTCACTTAGTTTTCTATTTCCCAGATTGTACTTGCACGCTGCATGACCCACAGATGTGCACCATCACATAACACTCGCTTATAGCTACTGGAGGTAAGGCCACAGTTGGAGGATTTAGGCCACAAAAGGAAACAAAACCCCTTTTCAGACTTCACTCTCAAATCTCAACCGGTGATGAGAATGTCACAGATGAGTGAAGAGACCACAGCTCCTGTGATTGTGTGAATGTCTCAGGCATAGGCAGCTTCCTCAGGCCTCCCAATTAGACAGGAAACTCCCCAGGCAAGGAGATTCTTTCCATTTCTTCTTGTTGCTACAAAGGACTAGAGTCAGCATGAGAGGAAGGCTGAGTCTTTTGTTTCTCCCCGAATCCTGCATCCCACAGGAAAAGAACTGCCTCTTCTCCTTCTCTGACACATACTGAGTCAACAAGTAGCCAGAATCTTCCATAAATAATTGTCTGAAAGCAATGTGACTTCTTAAATTAGGGAATTTCTTTCCCATTATAAAAGAAACACCTGCTAATTACAGAAAAGTTAAAATATTCAAGAATCTATATAAAAGATACTAACGATAGAAACATATAATATTCTGGCCTATTTCCTTCCCATCTTTTTTGTGTGTGTAATTTTCATACCATATAGTGTTCTACTTTTCACTGTAACATAGAGTTTTTTCTCATGTCTAAAATTTCTTTGAAACTGTTACATTTAATGACACATAGTCCATCTTATACCTATACCTAACTTATTTGATCATCCTCATTATTGCTTTACAGAAAGGCATATCAGCTTCTTTTTTCCTTGTTTTTCCAAGTATTTATTAATTAAAAATACTTATTCTTTGTAGAAAATTTGAAAAATACAGAAGTTGAAACAAAAAAGAAAAAAGGCATCACTCAATTCCCTGTTGAAGCCACTCACTGTTAACACTGGTATTTTGCCTTTCTGTTTTATTTCCATTCTTTTTCCAAGTTAAAGACTAATGGTAATGTTTTTCTCTCTTTTTATTTTTTTATTGATGTTTTAATAGTTTATAACATTGTGAAATTTTGGGTTGTATATTTTTGTTTGTCCATCACCATATATATGTCTCCCTTTACCCCTTGTGCCCACCCCCCCACCCCCATGGGCATATCAACTTTTATGTCCACCAGCAACGCATGAGAGCACCCCCTACCTATATCCTCATCAGTACTCGTTATTGAATTTTAAAAATATTTGCCCATTTTTTAGGAAAAATATTGCATTACATTTAAATTTGCATTTCTTTGATTACTTGCTATAACTTATTGGCCTGTAAGTATTTCTTCTGTCAGTTACCTGATCAGTTCTTTCATCCTTTTTCTACTAGGGTTTAATGGCTTTCCTCATTGAGCTTAGTTTCGTTTAGCTTGACTCACATTGGTTGCGTGTCCACTGATGTTAGGCACTGCAAGGTAATGTGGGTCTTGCCTTTCCTTAGCGATGCCTCATTTCCTTGTGTACCTGCTCCTCAGCTCCATCCCTGTTATTGTACTTAGGCTGACATGAGAAATCTCCATCCTTAACAACAAATAGTCAGTGTTGCTACCAAGACCTGGAGTTTGACTATCCCAGCATCTAAATGTGGTGGTCAAAAGCAGGTTACAATATTAACTAATTATTTCTATTAACTAATAACTATTAACAAATAATTTCTATTAGCTAATAATTTCTGACAACTAAAAGTAGAAATCAGGTACTAATATTCTCCAGGAAGTCCTCCCTAACTCAGGAGGTGGGGAAAGAGGCCTAGGGGCTTAATGCTGAGAGCTAATCTAATTGGCATCTTTCTGTGAAAACAGCCTGATCTCCCAAGGTGCTCTGTGTGTTTGGTTTCATAGAAGGAGCAGAGCCAGGGGAGGGAAAAGAATTTTTTACCAGTGCTTATTCTAAACCAGGATTGTGGCTGGGCACTTGACATGCAATATTTCATTTTATCCTCACAATACCTTACAAGGATGGTAATCTCCACGAAGAGAGGATGAAACCGAGGCACAGAACTTGGTGAAGGTCACATGACTAGAAAGTGGCTAAGCTGATAATCAGAACCAGGACTGCCGATCATAATAAAGCCCACGCTGGGGTCGCTATCACATTACACCCACCACAGCACCACGGTGTGCGGTGTTTTTGTGATTGGAGGTGGGAGTTAAGGGTCAGCAATGAGGGGATTAGGTTAGGGAGCTCATGGGAGATGGGGGAAATTAGGGCAAGGAGTCTAAGTGGATGACTTCCATTCTGCAGTCTGTGCAAAATCACAGAATCACAGAAGCAAAGGAGCAGGGCATATTGAGAAAGTTCAAGTAATTCACTTTGGTTTACGCATGTGAGGAAGAGAAAAAGTGATGAGGAGTGCTGCCCTGAGTGCCTTCGAACGCCCTGTTCCAGGCTCTGACCCTCCTTTTGCACCGCCATCCCCCTCAAGCCCGGGGCCAAGGAGACTTGCCCAAATAGAGTCCATGCTGTACCTCTCCCTTGTGGACCAATCTCCTAGTACCTAAGACCCTAAAATTCTCTGCCCAAAGGGCCCTTAGCCTACTTCTTGGGCGCTTGTGTACCTCTTTCCCAGGTCCAATCCCCCAAGGGCAAGTAAGACCACCAGTATGAGCACCCCTAGGCTTGAGGGGTGGCAAAGGGCTGCTATTTGCAAGGATGTGGTGAAAACATGGATATGTCAGCTGGAGTGTCCACATGCATGCATGCGACAGTGGAAGACAGAGTTGGGCAGTGGGCAGAGAAGGGAAGCAGAGCAGGGGCTTGGGGCTGGCCTCCCTCTGCTGCTAAGTTCTGGCATGGAACTCAGTCCAACAAGTCTAAATTTGAAGATGTCCTCCTAGATCACTATGAAGATATATCTGTCAAGGTGGAAGAGTAGAACATGTTTTATTTAACAGGTTATTAGCATGCTATATTAATTTTCAATATTTAGACATAGGGTATATGGGTTTCCATTTGTAGTCTTGCCCCGGGCATCACAATGTTACAAGCAGGCCTTCCACAGAAGAGGCAGGAGTGGAAGACACGTCTTGTCCCATGGCAGGAGCACTGGATTCATCCTAAGGACAATAAGGAACCACTGAAAGTTGTACTTCAGGAAAGGAACGTGATCAGGTGATTTGGAGATTACTCCAGAGCTGTGCAGAGGGAGGGTAAAGTGGGGTCAGCCACAAGGAGTGGTGAAAGCAGAGAAACCACCACCTTTAGATCTTTGCTAAAATGCCTCCTAAGTGAAGTCTTCCTTGGGCCACCCTGTGTAAAGCTGCAGCTGTCACCTAGCACTCACTACCTCCCTTCTCTGATTTATTTTTCTCCTTAGCACTTAGTACCATCTAGATCACATAATTACTTATTTATTGTCCATCTTCCCTCCCTAGGAAGTAACCTCAATGAGGGCAGGGATTTTGTATTCATTTCACTGCTGGATTCCCAGTGCCTAGTACAGTGCCTGGTGTATGCTAAGACACGATCCACTGAGTAAGTAGAGATAGCAGTCAAGGGTATGGAATCTAGAACCACCCATCCGTGATCTGAATTCCGGCTCCATCATTTACTTATTGAGGAACCTTAGGCAAGTTGCTTTTAACCTATATGTCTCAGTTCCTTCACTGTAAAACATGAATAATAGTAACTACATTACAGGGTTATTT